GCCAACCGCCATTAAACACAAAAGAAGAAGAAGAAGAAGAAGAAGGAATTCAAAATAATCTGCTTCTAAGCAATTGCAATATTGTTTCACAGCAAACCTTGAATTAGCAGATGAGCCTGTTTTCGGCCTGTGACTCATGATTAACGAACATCAAGACGTGATCTCGCTCTTTTGGGTTTATTGACGGACGTTCAGCTATTACTGAAAAGCAAAAAAAAAAAAAAATCAGACTAAACAAATGTCACCGTAATGCTTCAATATTGAGGAAAAAAAAGACCAGTATTGACTCAGGCTTTTAGACATGAACACTTATCATATGATCCTCAACAGTGGTGACTAATTATTCATGCTGCAGTGCATGATGGGAATTTTTACTATGGTGTTACCCAGCATGCATTGCAGCATGAAGCATTTTGTTAATTGTCACCATTGTTGAGATTCATATGCTGGTTCTTGATGTCCGTGTGTGTCTGAATACTTCAGCAGTACAATTTTTCATATGCGTTATATAAATGTAAAATTCGTTGATTATAACTATCAGTGCAACACCTAGTTTACATGCTGTAGTGTTATAGGTTTGATACAGAACCTGAGCATATAGATGAAAAAAAGAAAAGGTGTTTTGGTTGTAATCAGGCCAGCTCATGATGATATCAGATCATATAAAAAAAACAGATAATAGCCGCTCGCTGTACAGCTCTAATCCGTCCTCATCACAACACCACACGCACTGCTATAAACTGATATCTAACACAGAAGTCAAGGGTCAACAGCCCAACTAAAGCAAACACTGATCTCCATGATGGTGACATCATTTTAACCAATAAAACATCAACATCTGATCCTCTGTAATTCTCAATAACAGCAGCTGTTCATCACTAATGCACAATCATCATTTAATTAGTCACTTAATTATCTCATTAACGTTAACTCTTTGAGGACTTGGGATATGACTTGAAGACTTGCTTGTGACTTGAAAGTCCCAACTCTGCTACATATTCACTTAATTATCTCACTGCAACCCTGCATCAGTGTTACTTTTTATCTTTGTAGTGTGGACACTGCAGGATTTTCCTGTGGGGTTGAAAGGGTTAAACGTGTAAGATAAAAAGATACAGCCACAATTGTTTCATTCAGTTATTTTTGCTTATTATTTCTAAGTAGACTCAAATGGAACATGTTTATAGTATTAATATGTTCATGTTAAAAATATTAGTTTATAAATTTAATTGGCAGTTGGCCAATTACGGAAGTCAGTTTCTAAAAATGAAATTAGTTTTAAATTTAGACCATGGTATCTTTACAGTAAAATACTATAAACTAGAATACAGTAAAGAATTGCACAATTAACAGTAAATTACTGACAACAGTGTTGCCAGTATTTTACCATTAATTTACAGGGCAAGGTTTTACAGTGTGTAGTTTAAAAAAGAAGTTGTCAAGTTTCAAAATTATTTTTATTATGTGTTAAATGCAAATGAAATGTCATTTGAATAGTCAGTTTAAAATTTTTTTGATTTTTTTTTTTTTTTTTTTTTTTTTTTTTTTTTTTTTTGTATTTTATTATTGAACATTCCCCTTTAAGTAAAATCATGCCAATGCTGTTTTATTTTTGTATTTGGTCAGTTGTCGCTATTACACATGTTGCACCCTTTGCAATGTTGTTAATTAATTTGTATTCATTACTCATTTATTTTTTTTCCCAGATGTCTTGGCCTGTATAACTGTCACTGAATCAGTTGGTAATGTATTATGCTGTGGTATTTTAACTGTGCATGATCAGATCTGTAGATTGGCGTGTTGAGCTTCTGTGCATTTGGACCTGTATTAGAATTTAAATCTGGGGAAATAAACATGTTTCTGCTGATTAGTAAAGTTGTCTTCATTTCTGAAGGAGACTGTATGAGAACAGCTGCTAGTAATGTTCATTTGTACTGTATAATGTACTGCTAAAAAATAAATATTTTAATTACAGAATATACCTCTGTTGACCCCTGCTACAACTACACTGTGCTGGACAATCCATGGAGAGCCACTAACATATATGCTTCAGGCAGTAATTGTGACCAGTATGTCACCTGGAGCGGCTGGTATCGTCTCTTCATTAACAACATGAGCGCTCACATCCCAGACACGTGTGTTGCTCAGTATAGCTGTGGCACTGCTGTCCCACTGTGGATTCGTGGTGGACACCCAACAGTTGAAGATGGAGTCGTCACTCGAGATGTCTGCGGTCACTATAACAATTACTGCTGCTATTTCGGTTCTTTTCCCATTAAAGTCAAAGCCTGTCCAGGCAATTATTATGTCTATGAGCTGGTTAGACCAACTTTCTGCTATTCAGCATACTGTGCAGGTAATTATATTCACATGAACTCTTTCTACACACTCGTTCTGCGTATTAATCACTATTCATCCAAACTTTCAGATGTTGGCAGCATTAACAGGAGCTATATATATATATATATATAGTGCATGCAAATTGATTATTCGGCACATTGATATTCTGATCATATTTTTTTTTTCAAGCACATTTGACCAATTCCAAACCACATCAGACTTAATCACACTGTAAAAAAAAATACTGTAAAATTTACAGCAACTTACTAGCAATTTTGGTTGCCAGAAATACTGTACATTTACAAAAGCACTGTAAATCAATAATTACAATTGCACCGTAAAAATACAGCAAACTGAAAAAAACAGTAGAAACGTTTATAAATATGAGTGAAATGACAAGAGCAACTGTGAACTTGTAATGCTATACATACATTTTACAGTAAATTGGAAAATTTGTTGTGAAATTCATTTAACTAAATTAACTACAATTGAGATTTTTTCACTGCTGAGATAGTGTGTAAACATTTGGTTGACTTATTTAATTTCAGTCCTCTGAAAACTGCAAAGACTTAATGTATAACAGTAAAGTAACAAAAAACATGACTATAACTCAAATCACTGAAGTTCATCATCAGCAATAGCACACAAGTATGTGCTGAAGCACTAAACAAAGAGATCATCACTGTATTAACGCCACAGTTAGTCTTTAAATAAAGCAGCAGAACGCCAGTGCTTGTGGCTCATCATTGACTGAAGCACAAGCTCTACTCTCCAGCACAATGGTGACCCACAAAACTACATTAAACTAACAGATCTCTCTTGAGCAAAAACACATTAATACAGTTCAGGGTTAGTATGTAGCTACTGCAAATAACAAGAAACTAATAAAAAAAAACACAACATGTCATTAGAGCTTAACCACTGAATGAGATCAGTAAATCAAGACACCAATGACTACAAAATTACCAATACTTACCGAAAATCACTTAATGAAAATCTTTCTTGGCTTTTCTTGCTATAATAAATTTACTTCATTAACTCAATCATAACAACCAAATTAAAAAAAAAAAAAAAAGCATCATTAAAAAGTCAAGGGTCAAGAGCTCAACTAAAGCAAACACTGATCTCCATGATGGTGCAATCATTTTAACCAATAAAACATCAACATCTGATCCTCTGTAATTCTCAATAACAGCAGCTGTTCATCACTAATGCACAATCATCATTTAATTAGTCACTTAATTATCTCATTAACTTTAACTATTTGAGGACTTGGGATTTGACTTGAAGACTTGCTTGTGACTTGAAAGTCCCACCTCTGGTATTTAATCATTTATAAGTGATATATAATTGTCCATGAAGGCTGAAAGTGAAAAACTCCTTATTTTCAGTTGTGCAGAATTATTAGGCAGGTTTTCTTTTACAGATCAAATTATAAAAAAAAGAGATTTAACTCAGACTGAAAAGTCAAACATTATTAAATGCCCATGAGAAATGTTCAAAATTACACTGTTAACCCTTGCTGTAGAAAAATGCCCAAATTCTTACAGTAACATACCACTTTCAATAAAAACAGGAATATACTGTAGAAAACAATTCATTCTGGGTAATATTTGTCATTTCCGAGAAAGCAGCCAACAGGAATATACTGTGAATTAACAGAGCTCGAAGTCGACACTGAGAGGCTTTGTTCAAAATCACACTCTATACCCTCATTCACTACTCTCTACATTAGTTTACTTGACCGAGTGAATGAAAGGAAGCGAGTGAATTCAGACACTGATGAACACCTGATGATAACAAGCAGAATCACTGAAGGACAGAGAAACAAGAACAGAAAAAAAAGAGACACAAGCAGACACACAAGAACTACAACTGACTTCCAGCTTCAGTTTTAAGACCCTTTCACACTGAGTGTGAAACCAGTTTAGTTGTATTGAAAATTACAACAGTTTTATTGAAAATAATAAAGTTTGTAGTTAACGTTGTAGAGGTCAATGTTTGCTTTAATTGTGCCCTTGAACCTTGACGCTTACAGACATGTTCTGTCTGCTGTAACTGTGTGTTTAGAAAGAACATCTGGTCCCACTTTATATTGTGTCACTAATACCTGTGTACTTACATAGTAACTAAATGTGTACGTAGTATGTAACCACAGTGTAAGAACACATTGGTGAAATCACGGGAGTTAAATTAACACTGCTCGGAGCATATATGGTCCCACTCTAAAAGAGTGTTAAAGTAACACTGAAGCAGTGTTAAAGTTAATGAGATAATTATGTGATTAATTAAGTGATGATTGAGCATTAGTGATGAACAGCTGCTGTTAACAAGCAGAATCACTGAAGAAAAGAGAAACAAGAATTACAACTGACTTCAGCCACAGACTTAGATAAAATCAACTGAAATAAAAGAAGACATTAAATCTCTCAAGATCTCAGCAGAAGATGATTGAACAACTCTACAAACAGCATCACCAGCTTCATGCATTACTAACCAGTTAGACTATCTAAAACTGAGGGTCTTTATTGAGAATTAATGTTTAGATGTTTTTCTTTTTCTTTTCAATTTACCGTTTCTGTGAATAGTGGTTGCTTTCGTTGCCTCTTGACCCATAACTTTTTACATTTAAGTTTCTCTTTGGCTGGCACTATAGTGTATGTTAAACACATATGTGATGGCAAGCCATTTATGTTAATATCATGTCATGTGTCTGAGTCTCTGATTGCAAATTATCTACAACCGTACTGCTTTCATGATTTTAATTTTGTTAAAATAATATGAGATAATGTGAAAAAAAAAAACCTTTATAGAAGACTTTAATAAACATGGTTCTTTGCAAGTTTTCAATTCTGGCATTCATAGACATGAAGAATCAGCATGTGAATCTCAGCAATGATGAAAATATTCTGATCATTTGTATGTGTTTTTGAACGTCACAAAACAAGGCAGTAAAAAGTCACAACAAAAAATAACAAAAATAAAAGCAAATAGTAAAAATAAAATACTAAAATACTAAGACAATGCAGCTGCATAATTTATTCATGTCGCAATGCATGCTGAGTTATGATTGGTGCACCCAGAATGCAATGCAACATGAATCTGTCTGACGATCATCACCATTGTTGAGATTCATATGCTGATTCTTGATGTCTGTGTTTCTAAACAATGTACAGATTCTAAATTGATGTGCAAAGTTTTTAAAGCTCTTATTATTTCATGAAAGTTCAGTTGTGATCAATAACATGAACTATATTACACATTACCACTGGTGATATCAGTAAACCTGGCTTCTACAGGACAACAATGTCGTTATCAATAAAATGTCCTTGCAAATGAGACATTTTTCGTCAAAAAAAAAAAAATATATAATCTGAAAATATTTTCTCTTGTTCATTTCTTGCTGTAACTAATGTGTTTCATAAACACAATTACAGCAACCAGAGAAAAACGAATGTTTGAAAGTCAAGGGCCAAGAGCCGAACTAAAACATGTATTAAAACATCTGATCCTCTGTAATTCTCAATAACAGCAGGTGTTCATCACTAATGCACAATCATCATTTAATTAGTCACTTAACTATCTCATTAGCTTTAATTTTAACTCTTTGAGGACTTGGGATTTGACTTGAGACTTGCTTGTGACTTGAAAGGAATTACTTGGTCCCACCTCTGGACTCAAGTGAAATATGTTCAAAGTATTAATATGTTCATGTTAAAAATATTTATAAATTGAATTGGCAGTTGGCTAATTTAAGGAAGTCGGTTTCTAGAAATGAAGAGTTTTAATTTAATCCATGGTTTATTTACAGTAATATACTGTAAACTAGACTACAGTAAATAACTACACAATTAACAGTTAATTACTGGCAACAGTGTTGCCAGTATTTTACCATTAGTTTACAATGCAAGGTTTTAGTGTAGATGTTTGACCTACAGTAACTAGCTGGCAAAAAAGTGTTGCCAATATATTACTGTCAAAATGCCTGGTAATGTCTAACAGTGAGCTCCAAGATTTTCCAGAACTGAAACCTACCTGTCTCCAGAAGTGCAAGGTGTCAGGTTCTCAGAGACTTTGCTTGGGTAAAAAAAAAAAAAAGACCCTCGCTTAATAAGAATAACACGATGAAGTGTTGTGAATTACAAGACGACTAATTTTTTATAGGCTTTATAGACAGAGAAGTTGAGAGTGACTCTTGAAGGTGCAGCACCACATCCTCTTATACCACTGTTTGAAGAATTTATCTTCCAGAATCTGGCAGTAAGTTTTAGGAGCTCATTTTTAGTCAATCTCTGCAAGACAGACTTTTCAGGATAGAAGATGGACTAAAAATGAACTCCCAAAACTTACTGCCAGATTCTCAAAACCCTAAGCCTAAGAGTTTCAGATACACAAAGTAGTGTTTAGATTAATTGTATGTACAGACATATTCTTTGTTTAGTTGACTCAAATGAAATTCACAGTGATACTGTAATCATGTTATTAACACAGCATAAATATTAGTTTGTGCTTTTCTTTTTAACAGATATTTTTCCCTAATACCATAAAATTACAGTTTTTCATGGGATTTATTTATTTTTTATTTTATTTTTTGCAGTGTATTCTTCCGTTGACCCCTGCTACAACTACACTGTGCTGGACGATCCATGGAGAGCCAACAGCAGTCGCCTATCAAGCTCCTACAAGTGTGACAGTATTAGTCACTTAATTATCTCATTAACTTTAACTCTTTGAGGACTTGGGATTTGACTTGAGACTTGCTTGTGACTTGAAAGGAATTACTTGGTCCCACCTCTGGACTCAAGTGAAATATGTTCAAAGTATTAATATGTTCATGTTAAAAATATTTATAAATTGAATTGGCAGTTGGCTAATTTAAGGAAGTCGGTTTCTAGAAATGAAGAGTTTTAATTTAATCCATGGTTTATTTACAGTAATATACTGTAAACTAGACTACAGTAAATAACTACACAATTAACAGTTAATTACTGGCAACAGTGTTGCCAGTATATTTCCATTAGTTTACAATGCAAGGTTTTAGTGTAGATGTTTGACCTACAGTAACTAGCTGGCAAAAAAGTGTTGCCAATATATTACTGTCAAAATGCCTGGTAATGTCTAACAGTGAGCTCCAAGATTTTCCAGAACTGAAACCTACCTGTCTCCAGAAGTGCAAGGTGTCAGGTTCTCAGAGACTTTGCTTGGGTAAAAAAAAAAAAAAGACCCTCGCTTAATAAGAATAACACGATGAAGTGTTGTGAATTACAAGACGACTAATTTTTTATAGGCTTTATAGACAGAGAAGTTGAGAGTGACTCTTGAAGGTGCAGCACCACATCCTCTTATACCACTGTTTGAAGAATTTATCTTCCAGAATCTGGCAGTAAGTTTTAGGAGCTCATTTTTAGTCAATCTCTGCAAGACAGACCTTTTAGGATAGAAGATGGACTAAAAATGAACTCCCAAAACTTACTGCCAGATTCTGAAACCCTAAGCCTAAGAGTTTCAGATACACAAAGTAGTGTTTAGATTAATTGTATGTACAGACATATTCTTTGTTTAGTTGACTCAAATGAAATTCACAGTGATACTGTAATCATGTTATTAACACAGCATAAATATTAGTTTGTGCTTTTCTTTTTAACAGATATTTTTCCCTAATACCATAAAATTACAGTTTTTCATGGGATTTATTTATTTTTTATTTTATTTTTTGCAGTGTATTCTTCCGTTGACCCCTGCTACAACTACACTGTGCTGGACGATCCATGGAGAGCCAACAGCAGTCGCCTATCAAGCTCCTACAAGTGTGACAGTGATCTCACCTCGAGCAGCTGGTATCGTCTCTTCATTAACAACTTGAGCGCTCACATCCCAGACACGTGTGTTGCTCAGTATAGCTGTGGCACTGCTGCCCCACTGTGGATTCGTGGTGGACACCCAACAGTTGAAGATGGAGTCGTCACTCGAGATGTCTGCGGTCACTGGATCAATTACTGCTGCTTTTTTGGGTCTTACCCCATTAAAGTCAAAGCCTGTCCAGGCAATTATTATGTCTATGAGCTGGTTAGACCAACTTTCTGCTATTCAGCGTACTGTGCAGGTAATTATATTCACATGAACTCTTTGTTTTATTTGTGTGATTGCTGATTAATTGATATTCATCAGTCCTTTATTTTTTTCAGCTGTTACTAACATCAGCAGCACTCATACAACAGTCACACCAGAGACGAGCCCAGCTGGTAATGTAGTCTGATATTTCCTCTGTTGATTTGTGTTTTGATTGAATGTTTGTGGATCATTGCAGACATTTTTATTTTCGAGGGCGATGCATGAGTATGATGGTATGATTGTTCACAGATTCTGACTGCAAGGAGATTGAGTGATAGTAGTCACCTTTAGTTTCTTTCTTTCTTTCTTTCTTTCTTTCTTTCTTTCTTTCTTTCTTTCTTTCTTTCTTTCTTTCTTTCTTTCTTTCTTTCTTTCTTTCTTTCTTTCTTTCTTTCTTTCTTTCTTTCTTTCTTTCTTTCTTTCTTTCTTTCTTTCTTTCAAATTTCTACAAACTAGTTTTTGTTCATCCACACTCATGTATGGAAGCCCTGAACCACAATGTGTAATATATATATATATATGAGCAATATAACACTCGTAGCCATGAGATATTGGCTGTATATCGGCTGTGATTCGGCCGTAGGTAATCACAGCATGCCGATATACAGCCATATCTCACAGCTACGAGTGTGATATTGCATTTATACAACAGTTCGACCACACAAGTGTGTAAATATCAAGCATCACGTTAGTTCAGGCAGGCCACGTCAGTCAAGCTCGCATCAGCTGATAGTCAGCTGTTCCTGACATGTACCAATTCAGTCTTGACACTTATCACAGCGGTCCATTTAAATTCCCTTTCTTTCAGCATCTCTTCTATCGCATTGCTGCACGCAAATCAAACTCCTCCATCCCCAACTCCACCTAACTGAACCTGTAATTTAATCTGACTTTTGTTTCTTTTTCGTATACAGTTCACTACATTGCAAGCATTCTCTATCATGTATTTTGTATTTTCTCATGTAAATTCTGAATTGTAATTATGTATGCATAGGGTACAACGGGGCTAAAGGCCCACCTTAAGAAAAAAAATGTGCTATTCACTGCGCTTAAAATGTATAATTGCAGAAAAAAATATATACATTGTATTGAACATTAATGGAGCAACAGTTTTTGTGTGAAAATAAATCATTCAAGTTGTTTATTTAGTTTAAATATATTATACATTTATGAGGTGGCAAGGGGGGCCTTTTACCCCACACACGGGGCAAAAGGCTCACCAGCATAGGGTAAAAGGCACACGGTATTGATACAAATACTTCAGCTAAAATAATGTTTTTTTTTTTTTTGTTTGTTTGTTTTTTTAATAATGTCTAAGTTAATACTTGTTCAAAACAATCACTTTAGCAAAGTTTATACTATTTTCTGCTTATTTTGAAAAAATCTAATAATTATTTTTTGTTCAATAAATATACTGTCATTAAAATATGTTAATATACTGTACAATATATATTTTAAAATACAGAAACAAAATTATTTTAATAAGTAAAGATTCTGAAAGTATTGAAGGAGATCCAAAAATAATTGAATATATATATATATATATATTTACAGTAGTGACAACACATTATATTTTATTATATGATATGATTAATATCATGTTTTTAAATAGGGATGTTATGATTTAACCGCGAGCTGGTTGAAAATCGATTAAAATATGCGACGATTCAAATCGGTTGAGATGCTAAACAAATCGCGATTCAATTATGGGTAGGAGTTTATTTGAATGTATGTCTGAGGGGAACTTACACTCTTTAGAAAAGTTTAGATGGTTCTGTGTCTCATTCAGCTCGTCTGCTGTTTCTGTTTCATGCAGATGTTTTTTATGTATAGTTTCACAAAACCGGTCAAACCATTCTGTTTTTGCTTCAAATTTCGAAATTATACAATCTAATTTAGATTAAAAACTGTTCCTGCTGCATGTATGCAGCATCGTTGTTTGGATCATGATTAAAATGCAGTGGTTGCCTGCCTCTAATTTTAAAGGGAAAGA